CCCCCAAGAAAGGAGCCCCTGGACTAATACGGCCGTGGAAGAAGAGCGCAGAGAGTGTCCGCTAGGCTTCGGTTACCAACTACAGAGAGGTTTACGGTCTTCTCTGGCTTCCCCTTCGTGCGTGCCCCAGCGGGGATCCCGGCTCCTTCTAAAGCTACGCTTCTTCCCGAGCATCCTCTTGCTCAGCCATCCTCTTGCCTCGCGTTCCTTCACCACTTCGCACCGGCTCCTCGCACGCCTGTCTTCCTAGCTTCGCCACCGTGCCCAACGCCACCGCTCGAGCCGGCTGCTTAGAGGCCCTGGCTGCAGTCCTCTGGCGGCCGCGCAGCCAGGCAAGGCTCTCGGGCGCCTCCTGCCTTCCCACCACATCCCTGAGCAACAGCTACACCAAGTCCTCAGAGACGCTACCACAAGATGGCCGCACGCCCTTCCCCGCCACGCATCCTGGCTGGCTCGAGCGCAGCACTCAGGATGGTGAGCCTTTCGCAGGGTCCTTTCTTGCCTCCTCCGTCCTAATCCTGCACATGCACCAGAGCCGAGTGAAAGGTCTGTCTTCTGCCTTGCCCTTTTCCTGGATCCTCTTCTACCTTCTCTCTTCTACTTTCTCTCTTCTACCTTCGCTCTTCTACCTTCGCTCTTCTACCCTTCTCTCTTCTATGTCTTGCCTCTGCCGAAGTCTTCCCAATCCTGCTTCTCTAGCTTCAGCAACAAACTAAGCCTTTCTTTTCTACGAAATGCTTTCTCTAAGTTGCCTTTGAAACAAAAGCCTTCCATTTTCTCTGCTTGAAGCAGATTCTTCCATTTTCTCTGCTTGAAGCAGATTCTTCCATTTTCTCTGCTTGAAGCAGATTCTTCCTTCCATTTTCTCTGCCTGAAGCAGACTTCAGAGACATCTAACTTTTCAGTATATTTTATCCAAAACTATTCTTCACTTAGTTTGAGCTTCTTTTTATTCTTTTTGAAATTCCTACTTCTATCTTCTGTTATTCTCTTGTTTTTCCTGTCTTCAATCGTTTTTTTCATTTTGTTGATTATCTTAAAAATCTTCAACTTAGTATCTTTTTTTTCTCCTTTATCTTTCTGCTTTAAGTTTTTCTATGTTTAAGTTTTTCTTTTCAGCTTGGCTGTTTTTTCTTTTGTGGTCTTTTAGTAAGCCCACTGTTTGTCAACAAAACTATTTCCTCCCTGTTTTTATTAATTCTTCCTTCTTCTCTTTCCTTTCAGTATCCTTTTAATTTGTAATTATTGCCTCTCCTAGTGCCTTTAAAAAGGAAACGCCTATTTAGGTTTATCTTTCCTTTGTTGTTAGAAACTATATTTAATATTTCAGTAAAGTCCTCTTGCTTTACCGGAATAAATATTAGCTATAGTTTTTAACAGAAGTCTAGCTCTTATTAATTTTCCTTTTTAATCCTATGTTTAGCAGATCCCCAGCTGCAGTCTCCTACCCTCTATCTCTCTCTCTCTCTCTCCCCCTACAGCTCTGACAAAGGAGGGGGAACCGCCAGTATTTATAGGCAGGATGCCCCACGGTGCTGGAATGTGCCCGGCTCCTTCCGCCAGTGACGTCACACAATATAGTCCCTGGCAGCCCGAATCCGAGCCACACAAACGTGCTGCTTTTCAAAGCTGGCCCGTGGCAGTGCCGCTGGGGGAAATTAGCATTCCCGTCACCTGCAAGCATGTTCTAGAAGCGAGGAAGGGCGTTTCGTCCTGTTCCCCGAATTCTGTCCGTGCTCCCGCCAAGTGCCCCCTTCGCCCGCCCTGCCACACCCAGAAGGGCGCAGTTAATGGCCTGTGGGCTCAACCGGATAAGTGGCGTGTCCCTCCCAGGCCATGCAGCCTGGGGGGCTCATGCGGGGAGCGGTGGGCCCTTTTTCCGTCTGAGCTTGCCCAGCATTGCAGCTTTAAGCAGCGAGCAAGAGACCTGCCGGACCGAGGAGCCTCCCCCAGCTTCCGCCCCGATCCTGGAGACTGCACACTGCCGCATCGGCTAGCAGCCATGGATGCCCCCTTTGGGATTCCCAGATCCCTTTCAAGCTCACTTAAATGGGTAGCCGCCCTCGTCGCACACGAGGCAGCGAGTCCTGAATTTTAATGACATGCTGCATGCACTTCCTTCTGGTTGCCCGGAATCTTCTCTGGATCGTCAGGGAGAGAGAACCGTCCACTCTCTTACCAGGCTGCATTTCAGGCACCTCACTCATGCCCTTTCGTCACGCATTCATTTATTCAGCTTGTACCTCGTCCTATACATAAAAAGTCTCAGGACGGTCCGACAAGAAAGGCCCAGCAAAATACCTGATCGAGGCCCTACTGAAATAAAAACTGAGCCTTAAAATCATGGGGAAATGAAAAGGTTTTGGCCTGGTGCTGAAGAGAGCAAAGTGTCGGTGCCACGCACACCCCTCGGGCACATCTCCAAACAACCAGCCCCAGGTGTCCCAGGGAGAAGGCATTTGGGTCGCCCGTTCCTGCAGGGTCAGTTGCTGTCGTGGTGTGCCACCAGGTGCCTCCGACTTACGATGACCCCGTGAATGGAAGCACCCCCAAATGCCCCCTCCAGGACAGCCCCGCTCGGCTCTTGCAAACTCCGGGCGCCTTGGCGGAGTCCCCCATCTCATGTTCGGCCTTCCTTCCGTTGGCTCAAATGCAGCCTAGCAACTGTCGGGATGGGGTGAGCACAGCGCATGGGATGGCTCGGGGGGGGGGCGGTGCCGAGCTGGGCTACTTGTTGACTGTGTCGGGAGGTGGTGCCTCAGCACGGGGCTCTTAATGATTAACATGCAGGGAGGGGTGGAAGCTCGTCAGCTCTTGCGCCTGAATCGAACTCTTGCATACCCAGCGATCGTGTTCGGCCCCCTCCTCGTTCAAGGACAGGCTGGACATGCGCATGGCGGGCACGTCATGAGCGCGGCCGGCTGGAGCCGAGGGTCAGGCCAGATGGCCCGGGAGGCCCCTCCAGACTCGCTCTGTCCCTGTGTTTCTCTGTTGACTTGAATCCTCTCAGGAAGGAACTCCGGGGTATTTTTGCGTAACGCTTTACTTCTTCTGCCGTCAGCTTTCCCCGGAAGAGCGGTCTTCTCCAGGAAGCCTTCTCACGATGTGCCCAGCATACGACGGCCCCGGCCCTGTCATTCTGGCTTCCCAGGGATGCTCTGGCTCATCCTTCTGCTGCGCCAGCGTGTTAGAAACAGGGAAACCTGGAAACCGCGCGAGGCAGAAGGGGCCTCCGGGGCCATCCAGTCTGACCCCCGGCTCCGGCCGGCTCTGCTCACGACACGCCCGCCAAGCGCACGGCCAGCGGGTTCAGCGCCCTCCTCCTGCACCGTGTCCCAAAGGCATCGCTTTTCTCCCGGCCCCCTTCCTTCCCTGTCCAGGTTTCCCCTCCCTCTTTTGAGGAGCTTCCACTGTAGGAAGGGTGGCGCCTGTGAGTTTTCCCAGTAATGGGACACCCCGTGCGGTGGTTTTCCGGGGAGAATTCGGGCTGTGGGGCCGTTGCCAGGTGTGGCCCGCGGGCGCCCGCAGTTCCCAGGCAGCGGGGCCGCCGCGAAGCAAGCGCCGCAGGGGCCGCTGGGAAGGGGGCGCCGCGTGCGTTCGCCCAGCGTCCCGCCGCCGCGCAAGCGGAGGGGGCGGCGCGGGCCGCACGCAGCGCGGAGGGATCCCAAACGTGAGCGGCCGGGGCGCGCGCCTGTGCCGCGGCAGCGCCTCTCCCTCGTCGATGGGCGGGGGAGCGCGGCCAGCCGGTTCTATCCGGCTCGCTCCGCTCCCAGCCAGCCTGGCGCGCCGCCCGCGACGTGCCGCAGTGGCTCAGTGCGCATGCGCAGAGGCGCAGCGCTCCCCCTCCCCCTTGCTTGCAGGCCGTGCAAACGCGCAGCCCTTTGAGCGGGTGCGGGGCGCACTGAGGGGCTTCGCTATTACACCAGGGAAAGGGCTGGAAGGAGGATTTAGGTGTCGAAATGCGTTCAGATCTTTTCGCAAACGGGGGGAAGCGGACCTCGCTTGCGCTGGAGGATGTTGGGGGGCGTGCGCATGCGGTTTGCTCGCTCGGCCGTGGGCAGAGCCTGCCTTGCAGAAGTTGTTGCCCTGCCGTTAGCTTTGCAGCAAAGCGAAACGTCTGCAGTGCTATAAAAAAAGGGTAAAGGCACCATCCTGCATATCTTTAGCCAAAAAAAAAAAAAAAAAGGCATCCGGGGATTTGAAGGCCTTCCCCCACCCTCTCCAAACACGCGTCGAATTGGGCTCGCAATTTATTACAGCAGAAACGTCTGTCTGCTTCCCACTGCCCCTCTGCTGTGTCTTCACAACAACCCTGTGAGGTAGGCTAGACAGAGGTGGCATGCCCGTGATCCACACGGCTGAGTTTTGGACCTGAGTGCATTCGTAGGATCTTCCTTGTCACCTGTCCTGGCAAGCTTGCCCCCTCCCTGGGATGCGAAGACCCACCTGGGGAGATGCAGGCAACCCAGCGAACGGCCCGGGGTCCCTCTGAGCTACCTGGCGGGGCAGGTGCAAGGTAAGCTGGAGGGATGCCGCAGGCCCCCTGCGCTTGCTGGGGGGGAGCTGCAAGGCCCCCACAGCGGGAGAGG